TAGAGCGCGATGAGGTCTCCCCTCAGCCTCCTCTTCTCGAGGCTAAACAGCCCCAGTTCCCTCAGCCGCTCCCCATCAGACTTGGGCTCCAGGCCCTTCACCAGCTCCGTTGCCCTTCTGGTCAGTGCTGGTCCAGAGTTAGACCACCAAATATCACTGCAGCAATGCGAATAATGTTATCGCGACAGTGCTCTGACCCACCACCGTGTGCACCCTTTCCTTCAACCCATCCCGCTGGTTGTGTCTTTAGACGGCGCAAGCGTTCACGGCCTGGATGGGCTCATGGTCCCCTACCCCCGGATCCCCCAGCAGCAGCTGCTGCCCCTGGATCAGAACGGCTACAGCACGGACTTGTACAGACAAGGGCTGACGCCGCCCCAGATGCCAGGAGACCATCTGCACCCCTACGGTAGGAGAGCGGTGCGGAGATCGTCCTGTCTCTGCATCAAAGCTGCACGCAGGAGCCCAAGTCACGAAAAGCCAAACTCTGCTGTGACTGCTGAGGAAGCCAGCAGCAGCGGGTGCTCCACGGGACTTGGACTTTGTGCAGGGTCTTTCTCAGAAGAAGTTTGGTGAGGCCAGAGCCTCAGACTGAGCTCTGCGGGGGGGTCAGGGAGCGAGGCTGGGGTCTTACCTCCATCCGACACGAAACGTTTGGGTGAGGGAGGAAAGAGTTACGCCTAAAGCTGGTGCTGCGTGTGGGGCTCACCTCACACCAGCCCTGCTGACCGTTGCTCCAGGTGAAACGTGGCCCTGCTGTCACCCTTTTTCTGTGCTGCAGTGCCACCCCAGCTCCCCGCCAGGCACGCGCGGGCCACTTCCACACTCATTTCCTTTTCCTTCCTCTTCTAGACTCAGAAGGAGTTTTTCACGATATGGACAGTGACAGCATCAGCCACCTGGGAGACTGCCTGCTGTCAACGGCTGAAGCCAACCTCCTCCAAGCCCGCGTGGGCAACCCCATTGACCGACTCTACTCCATGCAGAGCTCCTACTTCACATCCTGACCATAGAAAAGCTCCCAACTCTTCACGAGTATCTCGGATGGATGCTGCTTCAAATTCAGAACGAGGGTGAGGGAGGAGAAACGAGACTGAGACCTTCAGAGACATTCCTTGAGCACTGCACAACGGAGGAGGCAACTAGGTCCGCCACACATATAAGCACTAATTCCTGGAGACCTTTCACAGCCTTTGGATCGCCTCTCCCCTTTTTTCTAGCCACGAGTAGATCGACGGTATGATGTTGTTTAGCTGTAATTTTAGCAGTTTGTCCAGTGTTTAAGCTTTTGAGCATTATGTCCTGCAAACAAAGACTGGCCAAGCTAACCAGAGCTGCCCCTAGAAGAAGGAGGTGCCCTTCCCACAAGAACTCGGTTTATTTAAGTCTCGGTTGCAGCTGAGCTGCTCGCTGTGCTGTTTTGCCTCATTTCCCAATCCAGGTGCAGGCTTCGTGGGACAAGGTTAATTTTCAACAGTAAAATCCAAGGTTCTGAGGCATCTCTAAGAGATGCCACTGCTGCCTCAGAGATTTTCTCTGTGGTTGTCGATCAGTTGGCCCAGGACAGTTTTTTAACGTTTGACATTTCAGAAATGCACAGTGGTTTGGCCCCTGATTGAAACGGTTATGCTCGGGTATCTGCTTCAAGAAACAACAGAATATTTATCCTCTGTCGCGTTCAAAGATGCCGAGAGAAGCGTAACACACCCACAGCGAGTTCTCTATCGCCTTTATGACCGTCTGTCTCTTAACAGAGCAGTTTTACTCCCTTTATGGACAGAACAAAGACTTATTCTCACAAAATGACAGCTAATTTCTGTTTGTTTCTTTTTTAAAACAGCGAAGCGAAACCATTTTACTCTAAAAACGTTCCTGCAAGAAAGCCCTTCCTCTGTAGGTCTGTCCGCAGAGGGATTTCCCAGCCTGACCGCGCTCCCAGCTCACTCGAGGCATCCTCGCACCTCGCTTCCCTCCAACAAGTGACGAGGGAAAGAAACGGGATTGCCTTATCCCGTAACGCGTCCCTGCCAAGTCACTTAACTCCGAGAGGCTACGTTTGGTTTTCGCTTCGAGGGCCACCCAGGGGTGACATCAGGACTCGGGCAAGAGAAAAGCACGTCTCCGCCGCGGATAGAAAGGAATAATCCGTTTTCTCTACCCATCATCATGCCACGAGGCAGGCGTTACGAGAGGCAGGTGGGCACCAATGTGCCACAAAAGGGCAAGAAAGAGAGAGCAGAGAAAGAAAGTCTGAATTATTACCAAAGGGAAATTCTTTATTCTCCTGCCCAAGACCCAAGTCTGGGATTTCGTTCTTTATATACGTGAAGGACAGCCGGTATTCCTGGAAAGGTCAGGTTTTCCCGTGAGCCTGCTTACAGCATGCCAGCTGAAGGAATACGGTCCTCCAGAACTAACCTTCCCTTGTCTATTTGAACTGAACAACCGGCAGACAACTCCAAAAGGAAATAATGACTTATTTTTAAATCTTGGATCTCCAGATTTGTGAGTCTAGCGGTGCAACCCGAGAACCTGCCTGACCAATGTTTCTGTATGTGGTGTTTTACTTCTAAGCCTCCGCAGGCTTGTCAGTCTGATTTTAAAGGGGTGTAGCCTCTCAAATGAAAAAAAAGAAAAAAAAAAAGAAAAGAAATGGCTAATTTTCGTTGTCTGGAGTTATGGAGGAAAATTCCCAGGAAGTACATAATCCTGGATTTGGGGATGAAAGGAGATGCAGTCCTGATGCATTTTGCTTTTTAGCAGGATTTTTCACCTTCTCGACTACTTCTAGAGAACTGACGTAAAGAATGACGTGTAACAGAACCGCAGCCCTTATAAAGATCACTCCGCCGTTGCTTCACCTTCAATAAAGCTGTGTGAACGTGACACGTGCTGATGTGCAGTCACTTCCCGTCGTGTTTACAGTGCCGGGTGCTGGAGCTGGACTTGCCTTTGCTCTCGGGATCAATGTCTCTCCCCAGCAGGCAGTCGTGTACATAGTTTACAGACGCTTTGACATTTCTTTTTATGAGGGAAGGGGGAGCCTTTCGCAGAAACGGCTATTTATGACCTATGTTTGCCCAGATAGACAAGTTCTAGACCAAGCTGCTGCAGCTGGGTGACTTCCACCTTCGTTGTGTGGTCATCCACCCTTAAGAAACGAAACGGGAAAACTCCTAAAGCTGTATGTTACTTTTAGAGGCTCTTGCACTAGAGACGGTCTCGGTTTAGATGAAGTTTTAAGAGAATGTTACAGTGAACTATGTGCAAATTGATGTTTCTCCCAAATACCAGAGCCAGCTTCACCCACTGAAACCCCACCCTCTCTTCCTTGTGATCTCGTGCTGTGATGTGCCGATGTTTTTTTGCATGTACATTTGAAAATTAAAAAAAAAAAAAAAAAAGCAAACTGTAAGTGGAAATCTGAAGCTTGCCTCAGCACAGCCAGACAAACTGCACGCACGAGCGGGCAGCTGGCTCCCTGCAGACCCACGAAGGTTGGCCTGGGCTCCTCAGGAGAACGGCCCATCCGTTACCTTTCCCAGGAACTAGGTATCCTGGAGGAAAGCAGCAACCGGTGTTGGCGGCTGTTCATACCTTAACGCGGCAAACTCAATAGGAGGAGTCACAGTTAGTTGCAAGAGGAACTAGAATCCCAGCGTGAATAAATTAATACGGTGAAGAGGCACGCTAGACCTGGAGCTACTGGCGCAAAGGAGTCTGATGGCGACCAGAGAGCTCAAGCACGAGAGCCACTCGTGAGGTTCATACCCTATAGCTAAGGGAAGAAATGGCCTCCTGTTAGGTTTCCAGTTTTGAGGCCAGATTCTGCCTGAAAGGAGCAGAAATCAGAAAGGCGGACACCAGCCCCACAGCTGACAGAGCCCGAAAGCTCTCAGGCTTGCCAAGCAAGTCCTGCTGCTTCTCTTACCAAAGGACAGAGCTGCTTTTAGCACCAACAGCCAGGTATGAGAGTTCAGTGACTGCGGGTGAATCTACTCCCAACCGTATCTTGCAGCTGGAAGTCTCCTCGCGGTGACAAGAGACTTGGGGAGACAGCGACAGGAGTGCCAGCGAGCATTAAGTGGGAAGGGGCACGAGTAGCTTTGCGTATGTACGCAGAAGGGATCTGACCCTTTGGCAGCCTAGGGGTATCAACGTGCATCCCAAAGCACCTATGGACATCAGTGAATTAAGTCTCACGGCTACGGTAGGACTTGGGGAATGCGTACTGGTGAGGAAATAATAGCAGGAAGAGGCTAAGCCCGCTCGGCAGCAGAGCAAAGAGCAGAATCACACGCACCTTGGGCAACACCCACACTTTTTGGCTTTCCTCTTTTGCTCTGCGCGGTCAAGAGACAGAACAAGTGCTCTCATCAAGCAGGAAGGTGCAGGTCCTTGGCTGTGACACACCAACGTACTCGCTGAGAAGGAGGGTTTGGGAATGCCCACTGCTCTCTCAAATGCCCAGATGTGTTTCTCTCCTGTCTTTGCAGTCAGGAGAGTAAAGGTGAATAAAAACCAGTCGAGGTGACAGACTGACCACGAGATGAAAAACGCTCCCCTCTGCCCACACAATTTCCCTCGTGCTCACGAGTGACTCAAAAAAAATCATCTGGACGACAGCCAAGTAAAGCAAATGTGTGTGTGAATGGAATGTGGCTCCGTACAGCTCTCTGCCCTCAACAGTTGCCCACTTCAGCCCCGGGCCTGCCAGCAGCACTAAATCTCTCCCCGTGACTGCAAACACCAAAGGAACACGCTGATTTATGGTTCCTTTAAGTAAGAGAAGCAGAGTGTAAAACGAGAATATTTTCTGGATGAAAAATTAAAGGGATGTTTTTGTTAGTTCCTCATTCTAGGATCATGTGTAATTTACCTTATTGGTTTTAAAGTTCCACTTGAAAGGAAAAGTGACATCAACAGGAGTTAAAGCAACAGGCTGAAAAAAGTCCTGACACACTTAACTTCACATTCTGAGAGATCTAAACCAAGAAGAAATGGAGGAAAAACAAAGCAGAGAATTAACTAACCTAATGATCCTTGGCTTTCTCTTAGTTGAGGACCTCGAAACTCCTTGCATGCATTAATTAATTATCCCTCATTACTCCCCAGCCAAGTAGGTGTTATTTATTTCAGAGATGAGTAAACAGAGACATAGAACATGTTACGACTAGCTTGCACGGCCACACAGAAAGACAGTGGGTAAGTTAAAACAGAAAAAAACCTTGACATCCAGTTTGCTTAACTACCAGCCAAAATGCACATTTGACTGAAAACAAGAGTTGAGAACAATTAAAAGTGGAGAAAACACAGAACCAGGAGATGGAAACCAAGCAGAGAATGGCAAAGCCCATGCCAGAAGACAAGAAACAGAAGGACTATAGTGACACAAAAAGACTTGTGTGAATGAAGGATTCTTTACAATAATTAACCCCTAAGCAAGAACGCCTACACAAGTCTGACACTGCTTTCTTAAGTTCTCAACCATCTTAGAACTTGGTCCTTTGGGTTCTTCTCCTTGGTATTGCAGGGCTTTAGTGTTTATTTCTGGTCTGGTTTGTGTTTGGGAGGATGTGAGAGGACCAATCTATCCGAATCCTGCTTTAAATCTTTTTCTTTTTTCCCCGAGTCTCCCACTCTGGGAAATACAGGCTTATTCACTTATTGATTTCAGCTACTTGGGATTAATTTAGCTGAATCTCTTTGCAGCCTTTGGAGATAAAGCTGAACCTACCAGTTTGATTGACTGCCTGAGGACTTTTTTCCCTTGTTTAGCTTCATGCTGGTAACTGTCCTAACAGCTTCCTCCCCTTGCTTCCATGAGCCTGTCCTAATCACACGAAGAGGTACAAGACAGTATCATAATCCTGCGGTTCAAGAAACGAAGAGAAGGCTTCCTGGGTTCCTAATTCTTGTTTCGTTCTCAGGTTTTCAGAGGTCTCCCTTGCCAGTTTACATCTTGTGAAAGATACTGGAGCACCCGATGCTCCTTTTAGCTTTAATT